GGGAAAACCAGGAGCACAGATGTCTTTTAGTCCCCAGGAGATCCATTTTAGAAATCTGTCATTGCTGCACAACTGCCATGCTATTTTCTGTTGTCATTCCATCCCAGTGAGGGTCATCACACTCTCTCCACACATTTGGGACTCTGCTGGCACACACAGGGTATTTGCAGAAAATCCAGTGAAGACAGTCAGGCTGATTGGAGCCCCTCTGATTTCCTAATCAGCAAACACTGTACCACAAAGTACAGTATATGCTGCAATGCATATTAAAAAATTAATCACTGCTGTCAACAACTCTTATTTTTCTGCAAAATTTTACAGCTGAAAATCCAAACTGCTGCAGCCACCGTAAGCAGAGTAGATGCAATATTAAAGAAGGGAGTATTAGCTTGTTTCCAGTTTCCACCAGCCCCAGGAGTCCCAGGCACAAGCTGGGCACTGTGACAAACACACCTGCCAGTGCCCAGGGATCAGTGTGGGATGCACAGCCAGACAGACAGGCATCCTGTGCTGGGGGCATTTGGGTTCTCCACTGCCTCAGCAGCACTGAGGTACCAGGAGCAGCTTTGCTCAGCTCATTTTCAGTAGCTGCCAGTTCCCAGAGCTAACACGCATCCGGAGTGCAGAGAAACGTTAGCACAGTCTGGCACAGAGCTCCCTTCTGCCTGTACAGACAGACCATCCCCAGGCACAGGAGTAAAGGTAGAAAAGCAGAGGCCTCCCTGAATTTCAGCATAGCGCTGTTAGAAGGTGAACTATTATGTGCAGCATTTCCAATCTCACAAACAGACCTTTTTATTTATTAGCTATTTATAGAAAAAGAAACTGCAAGATGCTGTGCTGCAGCTTTCCAAACCAACCTCTGTTTGAGAGCAGAGGTTGTGGGAACTTGTGAGCAACACACCACAAGCAAACATTGAAGTCCCCTGGATGACTTGGTGGTAGAGCTCTTAATTTCAGAGACACTCCAAGCCAAGCATCCCAGGCAAATGCATGACCTTCCAAATGCTGCAGAGGGACCAGCAAACCCCAGCTAGACAAAGGTTCCTGGAACCTGCTGAGACAAAAAACTACAAGGCAGACCTCCTCTGTTCTGGCTTCACAGAAGAGCTCCTGGACACCCATAGAGCCAAATTATGCTCCATACGCAAGATCTGCTTGTGAACATGCTGCTGTACACACACACTCCACACAGCAGGACCTTCAGCATGGCCCATGCTACTGGTACGTTCTGGGAAGGACACACACACCAGTACATGCATTTCTCGTTGCTTCCCAGCATCCTTCAAACCAAAGAATCTATCCTGCAGAGCTGGAATCGTAATGACAGGTAGAAATGGGCTTAAGTGCTGCCCTAAATCAGCCAAGTCACTGCTTTGCAGACAAGTTCTGGACTCTCCTTATCGTCATTGTTCACCTCGTCGCTCTGGGAATCAGCAGGAAAACTCATCTGCAAGTGGAACCAGCAGATGTGCATTCATATTCAGTGCCATCAGTGACCCACAGGGAGATATTTTATAGAAGCTTTGGGTTCACAGCTCACCAAAGGCTGAGCTACAGCACACATTCAGAAAGGCAATAAACCTTCATTTTTACTTACAACCAAGTGGCTCAAACATGTAAGTTTTTCCAAGGTTTTTAATCACACAAGTGATTAGAGGATCTGATAACAATGATCCCCACTGGCATGACATCTAAGAGCACTTTATAGAGAAAGCATCTCATTTCATCTTCTAGTTTTTTTTAATCAGCACAATTATAATTAAAAGAGCATTCAAAGGAACCACTTGTATTTCACACTTCATTGACAAGTTAACCAGTCAAACAGCACAGACTTCAAGCACATCTGAAGCCACCAGGAATGTTCTTCAAACACAACCATGTCCAGCCACTGGGCCACCTCACACTGGGAAGCAAAGCCTGTCCTTGGTGAAGCAGTTACAGTGAAAGCTGTAATATGTAGGTCAGCGTTCTAAGAAGGGCTGTGACTAAGACAAAGTATCAGATTGATTCATAATGCTCTCTGATTGCTAATCCTGTGCAGAATTGTGATTTACGTCCCGCTTCCAAAATCTGAGGGCTACGGAAAAGGTCTGGATACTTTGAAAAAGATCATCAAAACAATTCTGTCAGACCTATTACAGTGATCTTTACGAATGTTGACTAGAGCACAGGAAAATGACATTTCCACCGGTGGCTGTGCACATCACTGAACCTCTCCTGTGGAAAGGGACGAGGATATTGACTGCAGCAGCACTTCTGCCCTTCCAAAAACTGCCAGTACAACAGGTTAAGGGTGTGAGGAGAAGCCCTGGCAGTCAAAGAACTTGAGTTCAATCATGTCCTCCATACCAGCCAGCCTGAGAGCAAAGGGCAACACAACCTGGCCCGTTACCATCCCTGGCTGGTTCCCCCAGCCCAGAGCAGGACAGGAGCTGGGTGGGACTGTGCTGTGGTTGAGGTGTCTGTGTGGGTGTTGGGGACACACCCCTGGGTGCAGTACCCCCTTCAGTACCTGCCTGTCCTCTGACAGAGCCACAGGGACATGAACCTCTGAATGTACAGCAATTAGCTCCTCTGCAGCACTGTCTCAAGGACAGTTAAGACAGAACACTACTGGCTGCATCTGCTCTGCCCTTTGTTACACCACCCCTGCCCACCCCATACTGGCACCTCTAACTCCTCTCATGTATTTCCAGCTCCTGCAGGAGATGACTCTGCCAGCAGTCACTGCAAAACAAGGTTTAAGTACTCACCTATTTTGTCCCTAGAAAACTAGGTCTCCAGGAACAACGATACACCTGCATTTCCACTCTTTGGTTTTAACCAAGTCACAGAGCACACAAACAGCAGTCACCAGAGTGGCAGCCTGCTCAAAGCCACATCAGCAAATATTTTTGTGTCCAGGAATTAAGTAGATATGGTCAGATATCCCTCTTTTCTGAAACCTAACCTCACATTTGCTGCCAGCAGGAGACACATACATGTCCAGCGGAGCACTGCTGTTCCAGTGATAATGGGGCAGCTCACTTATGTGAGCATCTCCATCTTCAGGCCATGCACCACTTTTGCCAGAGGCATACATTTTGGCAGAGGACCCCACAATGTTCCCACTACACCCACAAAACACAGCTCCTTCTACTGTATTTAGCTTACCTAAGAAAAGCAACCATTGAATGAAAGAAAAGCAGAGGACAGATTTACCTGGAGCCAAGCTGCAGCCTTGCACAGCTGTCCTGTCCCCAACACCAACAGGGCACACACCTTGGCACTACAGAGCTGTTCATCCCTGCAGCACCATCACCAAACCAATTTATTTGCTGAACCAGAAGAAAACAGATGATTTGTCTCGACTCAGCAGCTGCATCACCTCCAGAGCAGTGGTTTATGCCCAGGTGAGATGATCAGCTGCCCAAAGTAGACCTGGGGATAGGCTGCTTGCCCTCTGAGATCCCCACATGGGTTCACCCCAACCCCCCAGGCCCTCACTCTCCTGCAAGAACTGCAGCTAACAGGAAAAGTCTGCCTCATTAGACTCTTGGCCTCTGTCCCAGGGGCCTTTTGGGGAAGATTTTTCCTGCTAATATTCTTCCTCGTGGGGAAGATTTAGCATCACTCATATCTATATGAGCTCCTCAGGCATTTGGAGCTCCACCTAAACCATCCCGGACACTGTGATGAAACACAAGGGATGAGTGTTTGTATTTTGTCCTAGCTACCAGAGATGAGGAGGACTTTCCAAGATGCTCTACCAAGGTTTTGCAGCAAAAGCTGAGGACAGAAAGCTGTCCCTCTCCCCCTCAGAGACACACCTTATGCACACTTACCCCATTCTGCTGGGGTCTCCTTCCACTGACTCTCCTCTGAGAGCAGGAGGATGATGCAGCCTTGTATCACAGCACTCCCATCTATTTAAAGTTATCCCAGCTCAGAAAAAGTATTCCAGGTTAGCTACCAGTCTTTAGGCAAGTGCAGTCCTGTGAGTGTGCCACTAAAGGAGGAGTCACACAGAGAGAGTTAGACTCATTCCTCACACATTAATAGGCAGCTCTGGTTTCTCACTCACTCACAGCCAAGAAAATCTCCTGCTACATCCAGCTGCTCTGCCATGGCACCTTTCCCCCTGCAGATATTTCTGTTTTGACACTGTCAGTGATTAGATCCAGTTGCAGCAAGCAGATACGGAAACAGCATAAAGCAGCAGCAGCTCCCACTCCTTCAGCCGCTGGTCCCCATCCACTGCCCTGATTTACCAGGGCTCATAAACGCAGGAACAGAGGTTGGCCCTGAAAGACTAGTACATGGCAGCACAAAAAACACGCTACACATTATTTATCCTCTCTGCAGCCTGACCTGCTGTGCGCTAGTAGAGACGAATGCAGCTACTTCTAAAATTAAATCCCTTGCTACTGGCGGGTACTGGGACTGGCGGGTCCCTGCGGCTGACCCAGGCCAGCAGGGATCTGTCAAATTCAGGCAAGGGCGCGCACAAGCCGGAGGCAGGCAGGGGCCGGGGTCTGCCTCACCCCCCGCCCATCCTCTCTCCTCGGAGCCGCCACCGGGCGGGCTCTGCAGCCACCGGGGACTTGTGTGCTGCCAAAGCGCCGGCGAGCGGGGAGAGCAGCAGGAGCAGGGGGACAGGCAGCCGGGGCAGGCGCCGCCATACACATCTGCCGCTCTCAGAACTTTATACTGATGGGGTTACAAACATAAATAATAAGAAATAACAAAAGTTGCGCCGCAGCGGAGCTGGCGCTCGTCCACCCCACGCTGCCCGCCCGAGCCCACTCACACCCGGGGGCCGCCTCACGCCACGGCCGAGACCCCCGGGGGCGGCGGGACGGGGCCGGGCCGGGCGGGGCACGGCCCTTCCCGCCCTCCCGCGGCACCTGCGACCCCCGCGGCGCCTCAGCCCTCGCCCACCGCCTACCCTCGATGGCTTCTTCACCGCCACCCTGGCCCCGCTGCCCCGCATTCACCACGGACCCTGAGGCACTCACCGCCAGCCCCGCCTCGCCGACCCTCGGCCGGCCCCTCACTCACAGCCGCCGCCCGCCTTTGTTGCCGCCGCGGCCGAGGCATTTAAGGCGCTGAGGCGAGGGGAGGCGGGGGCCGCCGCGCGGGGGAGGCGCCGCCGCCAGCCCGGCTGCTCGGCGGGCATGGGGCATCCTCCTCGCCTTCCTCATCCTCCGCCCCTCACGGCATAGCTGCGGGGAGGAGGAGCGGCTGCCCGGCAGCGACAGCCCCGAGCCCAGCCTGGGTGCTCCCTCGGCGCGGGGAGCGGCGAGTGGCAGCGGGCTGCGGAGCACAGCCCCAGCTCCAGCCGAGGGGGCTGGCTCGGTCGGGACAAAGTGCCGCACACCCTGCAGCAGCCTCGGTGGGAGCCCCAGAGCTGGCCCTGCCCGCCTGCCTGGGGGAGCTCTGTGTGGAAAGGCACAAAGAACGATCGTGCCCCGTTACGGACACGGCAGAGCCCCGCGCTGGCAGAGCTGCCATCTAACTCCGTCGCTGTGGGCTCGTTTCGAATTTGCGCTGCAGATACATCAATAGTTCATTAGCGAGCCGCAGGCAGCTTCCCCCAGCACCTATTTCAGTGCTGGGGAGGGAGAGCCCTCCGGGCCATGGTTCCTTCAGGGCACCCCCTGCACCTCCAGGGATGCCCAAAGCATGGAAAGTGGGGCACATGGCTACTGCCTGCCTGCAGCTGGCTACTGCCTTAAACTACTTTTGGCCTCTTCTCTGTCAAGCACAAGCAGGGATTAGTGTGTGCAATACGTTTTGCCAAGCTATGTACTAATCAGGGTCCAGGCAAGGCAACCTGATTATTGTGATCATAAAAGCTCAGACTCTGAGCCATGCAAGCTAGAACAAATGCCCTGCATGAATCAGTGCCAGTCCCCACTGGGGCTGCAGGACACGGTACCACTGTGCCTATCCTGGCTGCTGTGCTTCCAATGCTAACTGGAAAGAGCAAGCAAACTGTTTCTGGGGTTCATCCATGTTTTTCTAACTTGAAAGAAGTCAGCATCTGGTGTGGGGTTATATCCTACAAGTTTGTGTCCAAAATCAGCATTTCACTGTGCATTACTCCCATCTTAGCTGCAGATGATGTTCCCTCACACAATGTACCTCTCTGCTCCGACTGGATGGAGCAAGGTCTTCCCAAGGGTTTTCCAGCATCAGAGAGCATGAAACACCTGCAAGGATACATAAAGTGTTACAAAATAAATCCACAGAAAATAAATAGCCCCCAGAGCTGTTGCAGCATTCAGGTTCACATTGCAACCCCCTAGGTACTCCCCAGGTACTCCCATTACAGCTAGCACCAGTCTGAGCCAGGTGCTGGAGGGAGAGCTGACAGGGGAGAATTGTGGCTTTCATGTCTCCTGGTGCCTCTCCCTGGCTGCAGAGGGGCTGGATGGGATGTTCCCTGCAAGCAGTTTGATGCACTGCCGGGGAGAATCAGGGAGGCAGAGCCTGCTTGCCTGGACAAGGTGCAGGACTCGGGTCTCGGGTGGGTTTACACACCCTGTGCCCTTCAGAACCCTTGGCTGAGAGTACCGCTCTTGGAGCGTGAGCACTGAAGCTGGGGGTTCACAGCAGGCAGACACTTTCCTGGACAGGCAAAGTGGTTTAGGGCTCTTCCTGGCCTTTAAAAGCTAGTTAAGCCTTACATATGTGCTGAACCCGAAGGCAGACAAGTTCCTGTGGCTCTCTTGAGTAGGGACATAAGTGAGATGGGCAGCTGGCCAGCCCACACTTACCACTAATTGGGGTAGGTTTATGTGGATATTTGCTCAGAAAGGTCTTAGCCTGGGCTGAGATCCTTCACTCAGTTCTTTTGTACTTAAACCGTGTGGAGGTAGGTACCTGCTGGCAGTGCAAAGAGCTGCACAAAAGCCCCCTGCTCCCCCCTTCAGGTCAGGAACACACAGGGCTTGCTTTCTGCCTCTTCCCTCTACCCACTCCCCTCTCGCAGAAGTCCCCTTCTCACTGTCCCTTGACTCCATCTCAGATTCCCCCTGTGCTGTGCTGCTTGTGGAAAGAAGAATAATTTAACAATTTCACCTGCCTAGATAGTGCAGAAATCCCCAAACCACTGTAACTCTTCCCCAACACACAGACACACAGAGACACACAGAGACACACACACACACACACTGCTCACCCCCTCCCTTCTTGCTGTAATGAGGCTTCAGACCATGAGGGTACCTGAGCAGGGACCACCCATGGTGGAGACAACCCTTCCCCTACCTTTGGAGACTCTTACAAAATCGACAGATAACCTAAAGCAGTGTGCTGGAGCCCAGGAGCCTCTGGGCGGTGAACCTCACCCACTCACCTTGCCATGCCCCCAGGCAAGCAGCAACTGGAGACCACAGAGGGAGTGAGGGAGAGCATCCAAATTCCACAGGGCTGTGCTGAGCTGTGCTAGCTTTTTCAGGCTCATGACTCCTACCTTCCAGCAGAGCTTCTTTCTGGAGAACAAAGCTGGCATCAGCATCTTCGTCCAAGTCATTTTTTCCTACACTGCAGAATGAGCAGTTCAGGGAAAAGTGCTGGGAGTCATAGTCACCCCTCTTGATTTGTCACTCTAAAGAGATGGGCAGAGTCAGAAGAAGAACAGCATATAAAGGTGGCTCTTGTCCAAGCACGCTCTTGTCCTGTCCCAGCCACATCCCAGGCCAGCTCAGGGATTCCTGTACCACCCCCAGCACTGGCAGCTGCTCCTGCTGTGTCCCAGCACTACTGATTTTCTGGGCTATATGTGTGTGACTTCCAGTCATGACTGAATCAGTAGAGAAGGGGCACACTTACCTGTGCAGTGCTAGAAATATCACAGAGCAGCACGCCGCTGCTCAATGAAGTGATTAATATTTATGCTCTGGGCCTGCTAATATTAGAAGGTCGAGAACAATAGATAATGCTTTTATGGGGCTTTTAAATGGAATCTTCCTTAAAGACTCCTTCCTTTACTGAGGGGCCCATAAAGGTGGGTTTGAGTGGCTTTTACATGAAAAAATATTTTGCTGCATCTTCAATTTCTTAGCTCTTTGCTTAAAGCTCTAATAGCTTTATGATAAAAAGTTGCCACCTCCCTGATTGCCTGACCTGACTGTCCTTGAACTGCAGGGAAACCACACATGCTGGGCAGAGCAGTTGCAGAGAAGTCCCACCATGTTCGGGATGTGTACGAATACCTTCACCCTCTGCAATGGCAGAAATTTTCTCCAGAAGCTTCTGGCTTCTGCACAGTGAAATCAGCTAAGAAAAAAAAAAATACTGAAATTAATCTTAACACCCCACATTGTCCTTCCTTGCTGCCAAAACATGCATTCTTGACAGAGGTTTGTCTAACCTGGTCTTAAAAACATCTGTTGGTGGAGATATGCCAACCTGTATCTTTTCCAGTCCTTATTTATCCTACAGTTGGAAAGTTTCTCTCAATATCTTTTCCAAAATATTATTGTAATTTTCTCCTGTCCCCAGTAGGAGACTGATTTGCTGCCTTACCCTGTGGTAGTCTTTCATACACTTAAAGGCTTAATTCGTCTCCCCAGTCCTCCTTCCTCTGGATTAATCAATGCCACTTCATTTCTCCTGCCCTCACAGGTCATGTTTCCAAGTCCTCCACTCTTCCTTGCTGCCCATCTCTGGTCCTTCCCTAGTCAGGCTTTATCTTTTGACCTCTGTCCTGAAGCCTGCCCTGCCCTGAGCAGAGGGAAAGGCTTGCATGGTGGGCACAAGTGCTTTTCTGTTTGTATTTTTCATTTATTCTTCTCATAGTGGGAGTGTCATTAGAGGCTCATGTTCAGCCTGACCAAGGATCTTTTGGTAAGATCAGTGCCCTCCAGCCCCTGGCCAGGCTCCCCAGGCAGCAGACAGCCAGACCCCTCCTCACAGAGGGATGCTGTGCAGAGAGGAGCACTATGCCACTTGGCCCTCTTGTCTCCTGCACATGCTTTTCCTCCTGGCTCATTTAGGATCCTTGGATTCTTGCACAGGCAGGATGAGTATTGTTTTCTGAATTCCCATGGGTGCACTTTGCAGGCAAAAGTGAAGAAAACAAGAGCTAGCCTACGGTGTTTCATCCCTTGGCCTGCTCCAGCCTCCTGGGGCTGAGCAAGTCCACAGAGCCCATGATTCATGATGCCTGTGTTGTATTTATCTCTTCAGCTGGGACGTTGCTATTCAATAAAAATATGACACATTTAACTGTGGCAGAAACAGCGCACCCCAGGCAGCAGGAGCAAGGGGAAGGGAGGATGTATAATCCATGCTGGCACACACGCAGTGTATACATACACACGGCAACAATTAGGAAGGTTCAGTTGTCTCAGATCTCAGTTGCAGACGTTACAGATGCAAGTCTACACACAGCCCAAGCTAAAACAGGCAGATCCCATCTTTTTGGCTGGAAAATTCTGTGTCACTGAGTTGCCTCCCATGGAAGAAAGCAGTATCTCACTCTGAGCTAGAATCCTGCCTGCAAATGAACAGGTCACCACAAATCCCAGCAGCCTGTGGGCCATGGTTTCCTCTCCAATTCTACCAGCACAAGCACAGAGTTTTGGATGGCACAGCAGCTCATCATCCCTTCATCTGTCAGAGGAGGAAGAGGGGGCCAGACCCCGAGCTGGGATGTGGCTCACTAGGGATGCCCTTGTGCTCAGCTCCCTGTCAGCACAGCCCAGGTTTGCCTTTATGCACTGCAGCAGGGTCAGGGCAGGGGGGAAAGGTGTGAGGTTAAGTACACAGCACACATTAAATACAGCAGTCACTCTTTGCTCTGCCCAGGCACTGCATTTACCAGGCCCTGGCAGGGGGCTGGATTCTTTGCACAATCCAAGGCCTGGCAGGGTGTTGGAATATTTGAGAATGAGTGAAACCTAGTGTGGCAGGTCACAGCAGCTGGGGCTTTCTCAGATGTGGTTTTTGGTCACGGGGACTGACCACATTGCTCCTCTGCCTGCAGGGCCCCATGCCGTGCTCTGGGCACAGCACAACCCCATGTACGCTGTTTTATAACCTCCCAGGGCTGTGATTATTATTTTACAGCAGTGGGGCAGAACACCAAATGCACAGACACAGGTAACCCAGCCTCACTCACCTCCCACCTCCTCCCACGCTGGCACTGGAGGAGGTTGCTCTGAAGCCAGATCATGATGCACATGCCAATGAGAAAAATCACACCACTCCCTTTGCTGTTATGTTGCAGCCAAGCTAAAAATAAACTGCA